CCCCAGCTATCCATCCATCCACCCATCCCCACACACCAGTCTGCCCCCACTCACCCCGATCCATCCCCACACACCCCCAGCTATCCATCCCTCCATCCATCTGTCCCTCCCTACACATCTGTCTGCCCCCACACACTCCAATTCATCCACTCACCCCCATCTATCCATCCATCCATCTGCCCCTCCCTACCCACCTGTCTACCCCCACACACCCCGATCCATCCACCCATCCCCATTCACCCCATCCATTTGCCTCTCCCTGCCCACCTGTCTGCCCCCACACACCCTGATCCATCTATCCCTCCCCAGACACCCCCAACTATCCATCCATCCATCGAGCTATCCCCCCAAACACCTGCCTGGCCCCATACACCCCGATCCATCTATCCAGCCCCATACACCCCAATCCATCTGTCCATTCATCTATCGACCTGTCCCTCCCTAACCACCTGCCTGCCCCCACACATCCTGATCCATCTATCCATACCCACACATCCCCATCTATCTATCCATCTATACCTCCCTACACACCTATCTGCCCCCACTCACCCTGATCCCTCACCATCCACCCCCATCTATCCATCCATCCATCCATCCATCCATCCATCCATCCATCCATCCATCTGTCCCTGCCTACACACCTGCCTGGCCCTACACAAATCTATCTATCTATCTATACACCTGCCTGTCCCCATAGTCCCCGATCCATCTATCCATCCCCACAGACACCTACCAATCTGTCTATTGAGCTATCTCTTCATACTCACCCATCTACCCCTATACACATCTCTATCTATGCATCTATCAATCTATTGATCGATCAATCTATCCCCAAACACCCCAATCTCTCTATCCATCCCTATACACTCCGCATCAAGCTATCTACACAGCTCCTGGAGTGACCATACCCAACCCCTAGAGTGCCCAACACCCATCCCTGGGAGTGCCTGACACCCATCTCCTGGAGTGCCCGACACCCATCCCTGGGAGTGCCCGACACCCATCCCTGGGAGTGCCTGACACCCATCCCTGGGAGTGCCTGACACCCATCTCCTGAAGTGCCCAACACCCATCTTCTGGAGTGTCCGACACCCATCCCTGGGAGTGCCCGACACCCATCCCTGGGAGTGCCTGACACCCATCCCTGGGAGTGCCCGACACCCATCTCCTGGAGTGCCCGACACCCATCCCTGGGAGTGCCCGACACCCATCTCCT